GTGAGGGACGGCTCGGGTTGGGGTTTCAGGGTGGGACCACTGACGGATAGATTTCCGCAACGATAGATGAAAATGTGATTATAGATGACGACCATTGAAGGACAGGAAAATCATGTTAGTGACGATAGAATGCACCTATAGAGTGATAAAAAAATTGGGTCACTGATTCAATTGAATTATTGTTGTTATCACGCTGATTCGTATACAGTGACCCTTAAGCGGGACTGCACCACAAAGCCACGACCATCAGGACAGCATCACAAGGACGGACCATAATGCGACTAGGAAAAAGAGATGACGAGCATAAGAAAACCACCATAAGAATAATCATCAGAACTGGTCATACAGGTCATTTAGATCAGTCATCTCGGAAATGTAAGCCTAGGGATGACTAGATCTCGAATTCATAAAAATAGTGGTTTTCCTAACAATTAATCTTGATGATCAGCTGATCGTTACCATCTGCAAGGACGGGCATAAGACAGGCATAAGGACGACCATAAGGACATGAAAAAGGATGACAGTAAGGACAAACCTATAAGGACCATCAAGGACCATGAAAAAGCGATGACAATAAGGTGGAACAACATTAAGGACGCATCATAAGAAATGACCATAAGGACGATCATAAGAATGATTATTACATTCGCCGATCAAACATAGCTTATGGCCATCGGGACCTGGATCTTGGAAAGGCAATGGCACCGAATCTTGCCCATAGCAAGTCACGGTGGATCACTTGAGCCAGTAGTTATGCCAAATAGGAAACTAAATTTGGAAAATATAAGTAAAGCCATATAATATCATATATATATAAAGAAAGTTCAATACATGAATAGACGTTCATTGCGGGTGCTGAACATTAATAAATCTTTCTGCATTAATAATGATTGTCATTGCTACAATTGCGATTATTTGTTTTACCTTTGTTCTAAATAGAATTGCAATTTTTTATGTCATTACAGTTTTCTTTTATTAATTTGCAGTGATGTAAATTAATATTAAATTTAATGATATTAGCTAGGAAAGTTACTGTTTCTCATTGGTTGATAAGTCTTTTTTTTTTTTATTGATTAGTAAATTATTTTTAAGGGTACTTTAATTATATAAGTGCTTGAACAAGAAGAAACAGCTTGAAAAATTTTGGAGCCCCTGCCTCTTGTCAATGGATTTTTACTATTATACAATGGGCAGTTAATTACAAGATCTTATGTGTTGTCTCGTATTAATTAATACAATTGTAGTTATTTCGGACTTATTACTCAAGAAAATTCTGTTCCAATATAGTGTATGTTGTGAGATCCTCTTGACTTTATAATAGCAAGGACCATTCAGTATTTATGTCATCTCATGCATATATGATCTTTGTGCATAAGTACTAATAATAATAGAATTTATAAAATATAAAATTCTTTAATCAAGGATTTCTTACGTTAGTTTTTTATGCCATCTTTAATTTTTTTCGTCCTATTTGTGATTGTATTCTCAATCAAAATAATCTCTATTAATCCTTTTGTTCCTTGCTTCGTCCACTGATGCTGGCAATCAAGTGAATATAAAGTATAAAATTTTTCCTATGCGGTATTTGTACGGGCATGAAAAATATGAATAAATAAAAAATATTAATAATTAAAGGCGGTTTAAGAATTCCACAGTGGAAGTGTACCGGTCAAGAGAGATTTTTTAAGACTCACAATAATATAAATAATTATTTGAAACACTTAATAAAGTTGTGAGCATAAACTCTATTGAAGAAAAACTATGATGATATATTATAGATGAGTTAAAGAAAATATCTACGTATTGGTATATCTATTTAGTTTAGTGACTTCTCGCAGCTTTGTTAAAATTGTTAATATAATAATCGTGTTATTAAACATAGAATTATATTATATGTAGCTCATATTAAATGTGGTGTCATTGTTTAATTGGGCCCAAACTTGGATGTTGTAGCTAATAAATTGAACAGGACGAGATTTAATAAAATCGTTGAGATTTATTTCCTACAAACATGGGCTGAATGTTTATAATATTATATTGAGATAATTAAATTTTTTGGGTGTTTCAGGCTTTATACGGGCTCTCGGGGGGGGCCTTTAAGCTTACGCCCCTGGGCCTAGTGACCGGGTCCGGCCCATGGAATTGGTCGTTGACAAATTATAACCTTCAAAAAGTTTAAAAGTAGTACTCCATCTTTATCCTAAAATACAGTTTCATTTTTAGGATCGGGTAAATATAGTTTCCCCTAAAATATAAATCATTTTTAAGTATTTTTTAAAGAGTAATAAAATATTTTTTTATAAAAATTTTTTTACCTTATTATTGGTGGAATACATGACTATTTAAATGATGTGAGATAGAAAATAATGATAAGATGAGAATGATTTTAATTTATTTAGAGGAATTATTTTTTTCTTAATTCTCGTGCAAACAATTATTTAATTAACTTGATTTTATATTTTAGGGACGAAAAGAGTCATATTAATTTATTTATGTAATTCTCACTTTACATTTTTATCTTTGTAAGCCAGTAATAACTTATTCCAATCTTTTGTATTTTTAACTGAATAATATTAATTATTTTTAAAATTAAAAAGATTAACTTTAATTCATTACTTTTTTTTAGAAAAATAAAAACTAAAAATTTCCATTTGAATTGAAAATAATGTATGCATATACGGGATAACATATCAATTATGTTTTTATATTTTTATTAATATGTAAGGCCCAATAATTAAATATTATACAAAGAATTAAAAAACACACATTTTTGATTTGAATATCTGATTTGGAGTGACAGAGTATATATTATGTGTCATTAGGCGATCCGGCATTGCAATCACTTGGCGTGGCTTTTCGTCCTCACTGTTCGACTTCTTATGGTTTTCCCTATAAGTTCCCGATCTTAATTATCCTTTCAAATTTCTTCTTTCTTATTGAGATTCGAGATCTGTACTTTCTTTACTGGTTTATAACTATTCAAATCTTTCTGTATAACTATTCAAATAATAAAAGACGCTAGACAAAATCATCATAATAGTGATAACAATAATTCAGAACTAGATCTGAGGATAAAATTCTAATATATGGACAACAATAAATTCTAGTATATGAACGATAATAACTCAAATCTGTAAACAGATCTGAGAATTATTTTTAATGTTCAAAAGTATTAAATTTCTGAGAATAATTTATTTAGATATGGTTTATAAATCTACCTATAAATTAAATTAATAAAAAATTATTATTTTTCAAAACGAGATTATTTCTACTCCTTTAAACAATAAAGGGAAAATAATTTTAAAATGCACTGTTTTGATTGGTTTGCTCTATGGGTGGATATATTAGCATCTCTAATACTAATGTGGATTACTCTTATTTAATTGCCTTATTATCAGAAAAAAAGGAAAATGTTTTTTAAAATGCTCTCCAATAATGTCTATTTAATATATCAAACTGATGCGTCAACATCATAAATATATCTTATCTACAACATTATCTATTTCTAGAGAGTCTTTTAGATGATATGAGCATTTATTACTTTATATGATTGATTACATATTGAATTTTAGACGAAAAAGAAAAGAAAAAGAGAATAGGAGAAGATTTAAAATTAAGGCATTGGAAAAAAAATTTTTGAAATCCTACATCTGTAAAAAAATATTTAGTTATACCACCATTCACACGTTGCACATAAGGGAGAGTCCATGTTAGAATTGCAAGTTTCATCCCAGATTCACAGGGGAAGTAACAAAATTGGGAACGGAGACCAATCTAACGGGGCACAAGCTGCAAAGGCCGTGGGGACCACCAGATTTCGTTTTAGTCTTCGTCTTGACCCTACTGTTTCTCTGTTTTAAATGAAGTTATGGAATTCTACCCATGCAAGGGATAAATTCTAACCATGGTTACCTTGATCCCCGGTTTAACTCTAGTTAACTTCCCCACCTAAACCCTTTATAAGCGACTCATTAGGCACTCCATCTCATCACTCGTAATATCTGTCCTTGCTCTCTTAAACAAACTCTGCCCTTTCATGATCGTATTCTCCATTTTATCTCTTTAGCTTCTCTTTCACTTTCTCTTTTAGCCTCGCTTTTGCTCAGCTGGTTCGTTTTCTCTGTTTCCTTTTACCTTCCATTTACCAATCAAAATTGGGAAACTAGCGTCGTTTTACTCTAAATATACAAAAAAAAAGCTAAATAAACGTAAACGTGTAAAATCATTTTTTTAAAAATAAATTTTACTGAATCTTTTTTCGCTTTAAAAAACTAGCGTTTTTTACTCTTGTAGGTTGTAACGGCGGAAATCGCTAGATGAACGTGTGAAATTTTTTTTTTTAATAATTATATTTTTAAATATTCTTATTTGAAGCAGTGGAGAGATGGCGGCCAATGGTAACGGAGAGGTGGTGTTGAATGGGAAAGGTGCGGCGGCGCCTACGAGGTCAGGGCTGAGAAAAATCACGACGAGTGACAAACACGATGGGATATGTCAAGATATGAGCGCGCCTACCGTGAAGGCTCAGACAATCGACGAGCTTCACTCTCTTCAGAAGAAGAAATCTGCACCTACGACACCCATTAAAGGATTTCAAGGTGCGGCTTTCGCGGCTATATCTGAAGAAGAACGCCAAAAACAGCAGCTCCAGTCCATCAGGTATATTTTATACCCGCGACACATATTATAATAATAAAAATATCTTTTTATTTTTCTGAAAAAAAAAATGATACAAATATTTATTGTTTACTGCGAAAAAAATTACTACTACAAATAAGTAGTAAATACTAATTTATGATGAATTCTCCATTCGCTTGGTACGTAATCATATCTACACGGGGGTGTATGGTAAAATAAGGTGGAACACCGCTGACTGGAGGGATCTGGGGCCCAGGTAGAAGGTGGACCCGTTTTGATATATTGAACGACGAGTGCTGATCTGATGCGGTTTTTGTGGGGCCAAGGGAACGGCGGGTTTTGGCCCACTCAAGAACGACACGTTTGGATACTTGTGCTTGGTACCTACCGAGAACCCAACGAAATAGCTAATTAAAATTTCAAATTACCAAAATGCGCTTTGACGAAAGTGGCAAATCTTACATCATTCTACTTTTGCAGGATTTACGTAAAAATATGGAAGTGTGAAGGAGACGGTTTTTGATTGTGATTTTTTAAAACTGCTTTGTTTTGTTTTTTTTTTTTTTAATGCCTTTTAAATTTATTATTTTTTATAATATTATTTAACAGACTTCATTTATTTTTCTGTAGTGATTTATCAATTAGTTTACTTTGTAGTAAAAATAAATTTAGTTTAATGATATTTTCTTTATTTTATTTATTTAAGAGGCTCAGTATATTAAAATGATGAAAATTACTATTGTGGAAATGACTCCAACTTATACACTCAATAGTGAGAAGATCACCAAACCACATAATAATTTTTTTATTATTTTATATATTTCATAAAATAAAAAATAAAAAGTAAAAACAACGGGCTTTAAAGAGAGTGGTTTTTCTTTTTGGAACAGTGCATCTTTGGCATCCTTGACAAGGGAAACTGGACCAAAGGTGGTAAAAGGTGACCCAGCTAATAAGATCCAGCCCATTACAAAAGATCACCACCACCACCATCGCCACGTCACTGCACCCACCATAAGCGTCAGTGACAGTTCCCTGAAGTTTACTCATGTTCTCTACAACCTCTCTCCTGCAGGTAATTAATTATATCAATATTAAGTAAATCAGTAAATTCACTATTTTTGTACACGCTAAACTATGGATTTGGTTCAGAGCTTTATGAGCAAGCTGTAAAGTACGAGAAGGGGTCGTTTATAACATCCTCTGGTGCATTAGCCACCCTTTCTGGTGCTAAGACAGGCCGGGCTCCGAGAGATAAACGAGTTGTCAAGGATGATGACACAAGCGAAGAGCTTTGGTGGGGAAAGTGAGTGTTATCTTTTATTATAGTGAAGTTTAGTTTTATTTTTTCTATTTTTTTTTTTTGAAAATTAATTTTTTTTTTCTAAATTAGTTTGCTTTAATTAAAATTTTCTTTTTTAAATTTTATAGGGGCTCACCTAACATTGAAATGGACGAGCACACCTTCATGGTTAACAGGGAAAGAGCTGTTGATTACTTGAACTCTTTGGACAAGGTAATTTTGAACTTTTGTTTTTCCATTGCCTACTCTTTTGGGTTATTTTTTTTGAACTGAAGCTCAATTTGTTCTCTAAAGTTGACATCAATATGATATGTATAAAATTAATTTTTCATATAATTATCAGTTCAATACTAAAATAATTTTTATTGATAAAAATTATTTTAAAAGTTTAAAGATTAAGAAAAAACAATAATTTAAAATATAAAGAATAAATAATATTTGATTTAAAAAAATATGACTTACCATTTAATTATATTTTAATTAAATTAAGTAATTTTTTTTTTTTGCTAACAATTGAGTCTTTTTTTCAGCCATTGTAAAAAATTGTTTTTGAAGGGAATTCTACATAGTTATTAAATTTAAGGGGTAAATTAAATCTTATTATTATTTATTTTTTCCCCAAAAGATAATTTAGATGATAATGATGTGTGGGTATCGTTCTTTTCTTTTTCTTCTAGCTCTAGTTGTCCATACTGATGTTAATCCCTCGGGAGTAGCCACCTTGTCGTTTTATGAGTAATCTATGTTTTATATGTATATCCTTATTGGGTAGTTATCCAGCTTACAGAAGCTTGCCTTCATTATCAATAAGTGTTGTTTTGGTTTATTAAGCTGACGGTTGTGAAGCAATGGAGATTTGAATGCTTTAAAAATGAAAGTAATTAAAAAAGAATTCTTAATTTTTTTGAAAGTTAAAAAATTGTTATGCTTTTGGGTGACTGGTAATTAAAGTGGGTGTGAATTTTGAAATTTCAGGTGTTCGTAAATGATCAATTCTTGAACTGGGACCCTGAGAACAGAATCAAAGTTCGGATTGTTTCTGCTAGAGCTTACCATTCATTGTTCATGCACAACATGTAAGTAAAACCATTAGAATTACTCCTAACATTTAGCAGCAAATATTTATCTGTTTTGTCTCTTCCACAAAGCCCAAGCCTTCCAGATAAGTCTCCTTATCGTTTAAAGTAATAATGTTAAATTATGATAATAGTATGTTGGATACTAACTATCCCGCCCTATAATGGAGGAAAGTGGTAAGAAAATGTGTATGGTGTAAGAGCTAAGTATGTGCAATTGGATTACTGGGTGGGTGACAGGTGCATCCGACCCACTCCTGAAGAGCTGGAGGATTTTGGTACTCCGGACTTCACTATATACAATGCTGGCCAGTTCCCATGTAATCGTTACACACACTACATGACATCTTCTACTAGCATAGATTTGAATCTAGCTAGAAGGGAAATGGTCATCCTCGGCACACAGTACGCCGGGGAAATGAAGAAGGGTCTGTTCGGTGTTATGCATTATCTCATGCCTAAGCGTCGAATCCTCTCCTTACATTCTGGCTGCAATATGGGAAAAGATGGAGATGTTGCTCTCTTCTTTGGATTGTCAGGTATAGTATCACCATGTCATGGTCGCGATGTGGTGCTAAGCCTAGCCATACGATATGTGCCTTTTAACCCCTTTTTTCTATTAGATGTTTGAAATTATTTTTGTGATTGAATGATCATCCTTTCTGTTTTCTTCATTGTTGATGAGTTTCTTTCAAATTTATAGGTACTGGAAAGACAACTCTGTCTACTGATCCAAATAGGTATCTGATTGGAGATGATGAACATTGCTGGACTGAGACTGGAGTATCAAATATTGAAGGTGGGTGCTATGCTAAGTGCATTGATCTTTCTCAAGAAAAGGAGCCTGATATCTGGAATGCTATCAAGTTTGGAACTGGTACGAATCTAAATCATTAGTCTTTAGATTATACTATAAAAGTTACAGGGAACTGAAAATGATGAAGAGGCCCGATTTCTTGAATCATACTGGTTCGGCATGTTTTCAATGAATGAAAATTGAGTCAATTGATTGTGGTTGGCAGTGTTAGAAAATGTGGTGTTTGATGAGCACACTCGGGAGGTGGACTATGCTGACAGATCAGTTACAGGTAACTTGAACAGCTTCAGTATTTCAATTTGATCTTTGATAATTTATTTTGAAGTTAAGACTTTAAACTTGGGTGCGATTTTATTGCTGTTGCAGAGAATACTCGAGCATCCTATCCAATTGAATACATTCCAAATGCAAAAATACCCTGTGTTGGTCCACACCCCAAGAATGTTATCCTTTTGGCTTGTGACGCATTTGGCGTTCTCCCACCTGTGAGCAAGCTGAACCTGGCACAGACCATGTACCATTTCATAAGTGGTTACACTGCTCTGGTAATACTATAAATCTAATTGATTAATGGGAAGAAATGTAAAGTGCATTTTGACAACTAAATCATTGATGATCAAATGTAGGTGGCGGGCACAGAAGACGGTGTGAAAGAACCACGGGCGACATTCTCAGCTTGCTTCGGTGCAGCCTTTATAATGTTTCATCCTACCAAGTATGCAGCTATGCTAGCTGAGAAGATGCAGAAACATGGTGCAACAGGATGGCTTGTCAACACTGGTTGGTCAGGTGGAAGGTATGTCGATAAATACTTTATAGCAATAGAAAGATCACACAAAATCAGAATTGGATCCAACCATTTTCTTGAAAAAGCTAATTGAAATATGGTTGGTATGTTACAGCTATGGATCCGGTAGCCGAATCAAGTTAGCATACACAAGGAAAATTATTGATGCCATACATTCTGGCAGCCTCTTGAAAGCAAAATACAGAAAAACTGAAATATTTGGGCTTGAGATCCCCACTGAGGTTGAAGGAGTGCCTTCTGAAATACTGGATCCTGTGAACACAGTCAGTAGTCTATTTCTTAACATTCTTTTTGTTCATATTTCTATTTCTTGGATATAATTTGGCCTTTCTTTTATGCTATTGTAATCTGTTTGAGTTTTGAGTTGCAGTGGTCAGACAAGAAAGCTTACAAGGATACACTGCTGAAACTGGCTGGTCTCTTCAAGAATAACTTCGTAACATTCACAGATCACAAGATTGGAAAGGACAACAAGCTCACTGAGGAGATTCTGGCAGCTGGTCCAATTTTCTGAATCTCACTGAATGGAAAATGGGGGAGAAACCATATCTGAAGGAATTAGGATAGACATCTTATAGAATAAAAATTAGGTGGAAGATTTGAGTCATTTATGTCATGATATATGTATAACTGTTACCATGCTGTATTCATAATCATGAAATAAAATTTTTTTACATCAGAACTATTAAGGCCAGAATTAGACTTATGAGCAATAATAGCTCGTAGCTGCACAAACCGTATACTTAATAAGAGAGTCTATACATAGTCTTGCTGTTTTGAGAGAATAAGTACTGCTAGCAATTCAATGGCAACAATTCTTTGTTCAAGAAATCAAAAAGAAAAATACATATATCTTCTTACTCAATTTGTCAATGGAAATAAAGGATAAACTGTTCTAAAATAAGTTTGCGACATCCAGAACCGCATGGTAGTTTTCGAGCTATGGAATATAATGTTTCCGTTGTTTGCTATTTCTGAATTTGAGGCTTTGAAACAGTTAGGATCTATGCCATCAAAGTATGACTACATACATTAAAAAGCTTATAACATGCACAAAAATGCCTTGACTATTAGACAAGTTTACATAGAAAGAAAAATAAAAATTCAATGGCTAATGAATAAGCTTCCATGCCTGATGCATGATATCGTCATTGACAAAAGGACGCAAAGACCACATAAGGAAGTAGCTCTCCAATTCTCCAGATAAAGATTTGAGATTTAGAGATGTAACAATCCTTTCCTGCAGCAATTTAAAATTAACTATTCACGTCAAATACCAATTGTTTCTTATCTTCACAACGAAAATAAGAAACAAAAAAAGAAAGTTCATTACCTGCATCACATAGTCTTGCTTTACCATACTGTAAATGCTAGCCATAAGTGCAGCATAATCTGTCATTTCAAATTCTTGAAGGTCCAGTGAAGAAGTTTCCTGCTAATACAATGACGTACAAGTAATTTGCCATTGATTACAATTAGAAATGTTGTCTTTAACAAACCATCTATCAACAGTGTCTTAATTTTCATAAAAATGGGAATTTTAATTTTCACAACCTGGTTAGTAGTTGCTTGCTGATCGAATTTTTCACCTAAAACTTCATTCCTCAAAATTGATGAACTTCCACCGGCAGTTTTAATTGCAGTTGCGAAATCCTCCAGAAGAGTTTCAAGTTCATTTAGTATATTTTTTGCTGCAATGTTCATTAACATACCTTAATACCACTTTCAGTATCATAAATATAGCTAAAGGAATTCGCAAAAAAAGAAAAAAATGGCCTTCCACAAACAAAAAAATTGAAGAATATTGCTACTTTTGCAAAACGAAGAAAAAGTAGAATCATAAACAGATCCGTAAAAAAACTTTATAGAACTCCAACAGAAACAGCTATTGGTGTGCTTCTAAAAGCTGCAACAGTACCATATGTGAAATATCAAGCAGCAAATAGAGAAGCACAGAAAGAAAGCAAAAGAAGGAAGAAAAAGGAAGAAGAAGAGAAAGACAAGCATAAATATTACAGGATTAAACTCTATTACTCAGATTTCAATTGTCAAAACGATGAGCATAGGAAGTTACCTTTAGTTAAATGGTCACGGAGTCCAACCAAACATGTATTTACTTCTGCGCCAAAAGTTCGTAAGAATGAAATTGAAGAAAAAAACAAATAAGAAAACAATAAAATTGCAAAAGCTCAAAACTTCAAGAAAGAAAATTTGCTATCTTGATTGTTGATACAATTGCACTTACACTTGTTTAAATTTTGTATTCTGTCATGATTGTTGATACAACCAGCTGCCAAATAGGATTTAACCCGCTCTGTTTCATTAGTTCTAATGATATTTTCTACTAACTCAGATTTCCTGTTAATTGGAGGCCGTCGAAGAAATTCTATAGGGAGAATTAAAACAAACAAACAACAATATCATTAACAAAAGAGGCAAAAGTGAACTGAAAAAAATAAAACATGAAACATAGTACGAGGAAGCATTTACCAAGCCCTTGTTGAAACCCAACAAGTAATCTACTTCCAACAGAACCGAGTTCCTCAAGCTTTGCAACCCTGAAATGGCAGACTAGCCAGTAAAGGAAAAATTTCTGTTTTTCGGTTATAATAATTTTCAGTTAGTATAATTACCTCGTTAAAAATTCTTTGAAAATCTGGAAAAACCAGCAAAACAAAGTAAATCTACTTCCCAACAGGAACCGAGTTACCTCGCAAAGCTTTGGCAACTTCCTGAAAATGGCCAAGGAACTAGCCCGAGAGTAAAGGCAAAATATTTTTTCTGTTTATTTCCGGTTACTAATAATCTTTTCAGTTAGTTATAGATTCTTCCAACAGAACCGAGTTCCTCAAGCTTTGCAACCCTGAAATGGCAGACTAGCCAGTAAAGGAAAAATTTCTGTTTTTCGGTTATAATAATTTTCAGTTAGTATAATTACCTCGTTAAAAATTCTTTGAAAATCTGGAAGATCGTCTCCTTTAATTGGCTTTCCATTTGATAATGTGATGAGGAAAGACATATATGGGGCAATTGATAGAGGAATGCGCACACGAATCTCAGCTAGTCATTTTATCAAACACTTGATATACGCACTTGGAAACTGTGCTGTATTCGACGGCTCCCTGTTGCTGTGTCGTTTTTTGGCTTTTAACGGGGCCGTTTTTATTTCAAATAACAATAAAAAGAAGTTTAAGGTTAAAAGCTTTTGCGCGAGCTGTATAAATTGCAAAAAATCGTCTCTAGAAGGGAAGGGAGGGTTTTCGGGATAAAAACCGAAAAAGGCAAAAATGGAAATTTAAAAAAATTTAAAACGCGAAAACGAAAATGAAGTGGGGGTGCGCAGTACACAACTCGGCGTACGTTAGCGAGTGTCCCCTTTGTCTCTGGGTCCTTCCGTCTACACTTCTTTATCCCCGAAAGCCTACACCCACAACCCTTCCTTCCCTTGGTCGCCGTCTTATTTTGCCTTCTAGATCTGAGAGATTGCTTCGCTTTTTCTTCGTGTTTGGGTGCGCTTCGAGCTCTGCGTCGGGTTTCGCCACGGATTTCGCTCAGTTTCCACTCAATTTCATCGCTTCTGGAAAATTTTCGAGGTAATTTATGTCCTTTCTTATTTGATTTGTCAATTTTGCTTTTAGAATTCCTCAAAATTCATTTGATCCCCTTTATGATCGTTGATTACGTTTTTTGGCTTCTGGATTTATCAAAAGTATTGGTTTTTCCTTGTAAATAGAATTAGGGATCGTGTTTTAACATTCGTAACCTATACCGGAAAACTCCAGAAAATGTTGTCGATCTTACTTTCCTACGGGGTTTCAGATGATCATTCATTCTAATAAAAGCCAATTTTTTCTTTTAAACAAAAGAAGAAACAAAAAAAATTGAAGAGGAAAGGGGATTTCTATTGATTTTTTTTCTATTCGTTTTTGTTTTTGCTTGCGAGTTGCATAACGTCTTTCAATTTTTATTTTTTGAAATTTAGTCATCGGATTGAATTTGCTCTTGATTTAATTTCGTGATGGTGTCTTTTTCGAAGTTTCTTATTTTTTTTTTCGCTTTTTAATTAATTTGTGTTATCATATTTCAGGGTCCAGTAGCTGTAAATAACATCTGGGAAATTGATTGAAGTGGAGATAATAAGCCGCAATGCGGGGATATGACAGAGATGTATACAATTTTTGGTTCATTTTCAAATTCAATATGTTGAAATGCTAATTTTTGTTTACCTTTTCAATGATTTTGTCTTCTAATAATATCTGCAGGAGGTTGAGGATTATGATGAATATGAGGAGGAAGGATATGAAGGATATGATCAGGAGGAAGCAGGCGAGGAGGATGAATATGAGGAGGAAGAGGAAGAACAGCGAAAGCCAAGTGCAGAGGAACTCGAGTATCTTGCATTAAGGGCACGGATTAAAGAACAAATTAGGAAGAAGATGCAGAGGGAAAATGGTCCTGCTGCTTCCAGATCCCAGGAGACAAAGAAGAAACTTCCTTTGGATAAGTGAGTACAATATGTATTTCTCAATGCTATTTTTATTTTTGTCAATATGAATACCAACTTTGTACTTTCGCTTGTGAAAATTGTTTGCTTTTTGCATGAGTAGATAATCAGTGGTAGGATAATGTCTAGGGGACATAGAAATTCAGATGCACACTTGCAGATAAAATTTTTGAAATGCTTAAATAGTCCATTTCCCTCTGAGGAGACTGTAGTTGGGTGTATAAGTGCTGATTGAGAATGCACATTACACTTCAAGTCATTATTAGAGACAACTCATGCATGCATCCTAGAATTTATGCTTGTTTTGTGGTTATGCATATATTTTTTGGCTTGAGTACTGAATATAAGATTGATTTTCCAGGTGAGTGCTGTCACCAAGGTTTCTATTCTGCTGCAGTTTTATCTAGATAGCTATATTGGGCCCTAAAGTCTGCTAGACATGTGTTTAATTTTTGTGAATATTTATAGGTTGACAGTATGGTACATTTACACTATTTAGGTATTTCAGATTGTGGATGGATGATCTACAATGTACAATGTAGTGTATCACATGTGTCTGAGCCTAACACCACTTGTTTGAGGTTTGTCATTTGAGTTGATGCCATAAAATTAACTTGAAATCATGTCTGTGTTGTGATTTTTTAAATTGCAAGTATTTTTAATATGGTCATGTATATAATGATTATATTCTTCCTGCATACTTCTAATTGTCATTTTTCTGCAGTTATGGCTCATTTTTTGGCCCTTCTCAGCCAGTTATTGCTCAAAGAGTAATTCAAGAAAGCAAGTCATTACTAGAAAACCCGCATTTGGCATTCAGAAGTTCGAATTCCCATCAAGTATGTATCATATACTACTGATTTAATACAATCTCTTGTTCTCACTGGCATGCTTGTGAAGCATTTGAATCTATGAATTGGAGAAATGATAACTGCGTGATTGCATATTTTTATTGAGACCTGTGCTGCTTTGCTTTTGTAATTTGTGAATAGAGCTGTCCACAATTTACTAGCCTGCTGAAGTGATGCAGGAGCATCCAAGACTGGTTCAGAAATGTTCTTATAGTTTCCTTCTTTATTTAGAATTCTTAATTAAATTAAACAATGTTAATTAAATTAGGAATAATTTTTCAGTTTTACTTAGGATTTAGCTAAATAGGAATACTATTCAGCCTAGGACTCTTGACTAATTAGGAATATTTTTCAGTATACAATTAGGATTTGTCCTAACTAATATAAATAGGACAGCAGCAATTAGCTTTAGGAATTGTTTTTTATCTATGAATTCAGAAGTTTAATTGGTTTCTTTGAGACCGATATGTTATTTTGTTCCAACCAAAATAACTATAGGATTTAAGCTAAATAGGAATACTAATTCAGCCCTAGGACTCCTTGACCTAAATTAGGAAATATTTTTCAGTATACAATTAGGATTTGTTCAACTAATATAAATAGGACAGCAGCAATTAGCTTTAGGAATTGTTTTTTATCTATGAATTCAGAAGTTTAATTGGTTTCTTTGAGACCGATATGTTATTTTGTTCCAACCAAAATCATCCTGTTCTAGCCCTAATTGTTGAGAGTTAATTACCTTAAATTCTTCCCCTGCGTTAAAGTGTAAAAAGATCCTGAATTGCTGCGAGATTTTTTTTTCTTTTGTTGTTCTAAACCATGTTTGGTAGAGGGAGAGATCGAAGTAGAGGTAATCAGTCCCAACAAACAGAGATGGCTGAGATATTGCTAATGATTGAGGATTTGACCTGGGCTGTACAAGCCTTGCAGCATCAGGAACCCGTGGAAGCCCGAATGGAGATTTCGGAAGGCAACCACAAACAACTCAAGGTTCAAGAGGATCTTGAGATTGATAAGTCAAGGACGTAAACCCTTTTCATGAAGCTGGACCTGCAAATCGAGCGGCACGAAGTGGATTGGAAGTGTTGTCACTAAACGCCCTTGATTTGAATGATGAAGTGATGAAGATTGAAGTAGCTGATCTTCATGGAGAGTTACATGCAGCAGATTATTTAGATTGGATAGAGTGAAAAGGAGAAAGAAGTTTCATATTTTGACAATCAAAACAGTGAAGGCAGCAACAAGGACGAAGTTCTCCATATTTTGACAATCATTAAAACAGTGATAGGCAAGCAACAATGGTACCGTATGGAACGTATGCTATGATGAGTATGAAGATGATGAGAAGAGGCAAGATAAATTGGATCTGAGTCTTCATTACCCAAAGGAGGGAAAATTATTGCCAGATTCCAGTGGAGACTAAGGTTCTTATATTACGCCTTAAACCAAATAGAAGAATCAAAAAGGGTATGGAATATTGGAAAGAGCTGGGAAACAAAAAGGAAGACTATTGAAGGTGGGAAAACAAAGGAAGACTGTTATTATTCACAAAAGTATTTGCTTGTGGATGTTGGCAGCATAAAACTGCCAAAAGTAGATTGTTTGAAGCAAGTACCCCATGGAATTGAAATACATCTTCAAGCAAGAAGGCTAGTGCAAACACAGAAGAGTCTTTTTGTTGAACCAACTCTGCTTCCTCAGAAAGAGGATGGATTATTTGAATGGCTTGTGATGTTGGTTGCTCTTGCAAAAGCTTTAAGCACGTGGTATTCTAAAGAGAAGTTTACACGAATTGATCCTATTCTCATGGCTGAAATCTCTAAACTTTTCTCGTCGAAGTCTAGTTCCTTTCAAACCTGAGGAGAAAGATGCAGGAGCATCCAAGACTAGTTCAGAAATTTTCTTTTAGTTTCCTTCTTTATTTAGAATTCTTAATTAAATTGAAGAATGTTAATTAATTAGGAATAATTTTTCAGTTTTACTTAGGATTTAGCTAAATAGGAATACTATTCAGCCTAGGAGTCTAAACTAATTAGGAATATTTTTCAGTATCTTAAACACTAATTAGCAGTAAATATTTTTGCAGTATGGAATTAGGATTTGTCCCAACTAGATATAAAATAGGAGCAGCGCAATTGGTCTTAGGATTGTTTTTTTATCTATGAAATTCAGAAGTTTTAATTTTCTAGAGGGTTTTTATTTGGAAACCGATGTGGTATTATTTTTGTTTCCATCCCAAAAATCATCCTGTTTCTGACGCCTAATTGTTGAGAGGTTAATTTGGTACCCCTAGAATTGTTCTTCCAGCTAAATAGGAATACTATTCAGCCTAGGAGTCTAAACTAATTAGGAATATTTTTCAGTATGGAATTAGGATTTGTCCCAACTAATATAAATAGGACAGCAGCAATTAGTCTTAGGATTGTTTTTTTATCTATGAATTCAGAATTTTAATTCTAAGGGTTTCTTTGAAACCGATGTGTTATTTTGTTCCAACCAAAATCATCCTGTTCTAGCCTAATTGTTGAGAGTTAATTGCCCTATATTCTTCCCCTGCGTTATGAAGGGAGCTGTCTGCAAATCTTCACAGAGAGTAGGTGGAAGATCCTATAATTAAACAATGCTTTGGTGGAAACTGTGTTCATTTTAACCTTGTAAAAAATGAATCTAGACTTGTCCTGTTTGCAACGAGAGATGATAGAGAGAGAAGGCAAAGAAATAAAGGAATAAATTCTTCTCCCCATATATTTCTAAAAGGTGCTCTGAAGAGCTCCAAATATATTTTAGATTAGATTTTATTGTGATGACTTTTCTGCTTCTGGTGCAGGACAAAAAGACATCTTCAACTGGCTCAGTTCCAAAGAATGGAGTTCATCGGCCCATATCCAAAGCTAGAAATGAGGTATCCCTGCAACTCCTTGTTTATTAGCTCCTCCCTGCTTGCCCCTTCCCTCTTCGCCCTCTTTCTCTCTCTGTTCTGTAGGGGGGTTAATTCTCTAGAAAGACCTTTGAAATATAACGAAAGGATTATCTGTTCCTTTGATGTGTACAGATAAAGACAAAAGTCCAAAAACTTAAGGATACGAGAGATTACTCCTTCCTGTTATCTGATGAAGCAGAACTCCCAGCCCCTTCCAAACAGCCTGTACCTCAAAATGTCACTGCTCCAAAATCTGGTAAAACGCTGCTTTGGTACATATACTTTGTTGCGGTTTAATGCAAGCTATTTTATTAAGAAAACTTATACAGGTTTTTTGCTGATGTTCAAGAGGCTCGATCTGTGCATGTGCCGCACAAGAGCAAGCAGCCATCAGGTAATAATGTCAGAGATATTCGTGGTGGTCGTGAGGAAAGAAAATCAATTCCTGTAAATGGACAAATGCATTCTAAATCAGGGCCCTACAAGCCAACTTCTGCCAGCAAACCTACTTCTACATCTATGGATTCGAGAAGGCACCTTGGTAGCAACAATGCAACTGGACCTGGCCGACCTACCGGGGCAAAAGGCTTGCCTCCGAAGGTGCCTCTTACCAATGTGGAGAAGAAGGTCTTGGCTCCAGGTGCAAAAACTACCCTTCCTGCTGGACGTAAACCTCCCCCTCTGAAGATGCAGTCGTCCATCCCAAAGCAACAAATCGAACAGAAAAGGGCTATTCAAGAACCAAAGAAGAATATGATGATGCGAAATCAGCCAGTAGCCTCTTCAAAACCTCAGGTTTGGGCCAATGCTCAATTTTTCATGGTTGTGACAATGTAAACCTTTATTGAATATTTTCTTATCTTTTACTTGCTGAAAATTGACAGTTAAATAAGCCAACCAGCCAAATTTCATCCCATGGGTCATTGCAAGGTAATCGCCCCAAGAAAAAGCCTGCCAGACGCTCTGAAGACGATGAGGACGAGATGGCCCTTGCCATGATCAGGAACATGTTCAGGTAAAAATTTAGTTAGGATTTATAGGAAGGTAACGTTAACCTTTGAGTTTGACAACCAGTTGGTTAACCATCTTGTTAGTTAGGATGCATATTTTTTCCCGCGTTAATAATCACACCCACTTGTCAAGGTTTTTTATTTTAATTAACTGTGGTTTTAGGCTATTCAATTTTGCTTTCAATAAACTTTTTTTATTTGAATTGTCCTAATCTATGATCCAATTAATTCATTTTTGTTCTGATAACTTCTGGAGATGTTTGCATGAATGTTTTGAGTTTTTTATCCCTCCAGATGCAGCAAATCATTTTTTATTCTAATGACATGGTTAAATTACACAATTATTCCTTGAGGATCAACTTGTTCATTTTATAAAACTCAAGGGCCATACAAATGTTTGATGTTCAATGTTCAATGAGGTATGATTGTTCGAACCTTGAGGTTTACCTATTTGCTTTGGTGTAAATGTGCCTGCATCATATCTGTTAAAATTTAAAGATAGAAAGCTGGTTGTTTTGACAATTAGGAATTTAGTACAGAAACAATAACTACAAATGCCTCCACACTTTGACTGTCGTGGTGAAGTAGGGCTGATTTGGCTCCATCCAGAGATCAAACAAGTTTTTTTTTAACTGATTTCTGGAATCTAATTTAAAACAGTACAAGTTAGTTCTTGTGCAATAAGAGACTGCTATTCTTTTGCAGGACGGATCGGTATGCTAATAACTATGATGACGATGACGATGATGATAGTAACATGGAGGCAAACTTTGATGATATAATGGAAGAAGAGAGAAGAAGGTTGGTGCTCCTCACTAAATTTACTAGTTTATCTATGTCAAAAATTGTTATCCATTTTTTTTAGCTCAGATGATTTTGCTTTTTGATCAAAGAAAGGGAGAGAATTGATCCATGTTTTATTCCATATTTCTTCCCTTTCCCTCAAGCATCCAAAATGGCAATGGCACATGGGGACTTGTAGACAGAATATTGATGTGGCGCACAATGGGCAGATACCACTTTTTTCTCTTTTCTTTTTTGCCATGTGTGACTTATGTACATGCCAAAAAATTATATCAGAAGGGAAAATAAACTTCGTTGCTGTTAATTTGTTATGGACCTGTATTGTCATATTTTTGCAAGTTTACTTGATGAGGTTCCATTTTATGTTTTAAGTTCTAATTGGGTCCTGTGATACAGTGCAAAAATTGCAAAGAAGGAGGATGAGGAGCAGCTCCGTCTTATTGAGGAAGAGGAGCGGCGAGAGCGGGCGAGAAGGTTGGCAAAGAAGCGTAAGCTAGGGGCCCACTAGTGAACATACTTTTTTTTTTTTTTTTTTTTTTGGATGAGGGACAAGGCTACCGGGTCCTTATTGAGCGAAGAGGGAGAGACGGCGAGAGCGGGCGAGAAGCGTTGGCGCAAAGAACGCGTAAGCTAGGGCCCCACTAGTGGAACATCACTTTTTTTTTTTTTTTTTTTTTTTTTTAGCCTTTTCTTTTCCTTGGGGTGCGGTCGGCATAAAAGTCCCCACATGCAATACCTGCATCACCTCCCATGATTGTAGTTTGTGTTCCTTACTGTTTTTTTTTTTTTTTTTTTTTTTTAGCCTTTTCTTTTCTTGGGGGGTCGCATAAAGTCCCATGCAATCCTGCATCACTCTCCATGATGTAGTTTGTGTTCTTACTGTGCCTTGTGCTCTTCAAAGTATGGGACTTTAAATTATATTCTTCAATTGTAGGAATGTATTGCCAGTTTTAGATGCAATTTCTTTATAGATATCTGACAAGATGAAGAGGGATTTTTTGGCATTTGCATTTCTTAGAGTTGTTAGGAATAATGTTGCAGTGTATTGATTCATGGGCAATTCATTTATTATATAGTACTGACCAAAGAAAGTAAACAGGAATGATCGAACTCAAAGATTTATCAAAGTATCGAAAATCCAATTTTAAGTTGATTTTAGTGTAGCCATATTGCCCAAGTGGGAAATGTTTGACAAAATTGCTCACTCAATTGAATTAATTTATATATTTGGTAGTTTATTTGCATTTAACAGCTAGGATAAAATGTTTGGTAAAAATTTTGATTAGCAGTTAGTAGGTTGATAAAAATCTCAATCAAATGCTGATTCTATTAGCTGTGTTTTAGGCCTGTTAACCTTTTAAAAAGAATTTTTTTTTATTTGAATTGATATTTTTATTTTATGATCTTTTAATTATTGAAAAATAATAAGTAACTATTACATATTATAAAATATTTAATTAATATGACGAGTAATATATTTACCTTAAAAAAAAATAAAAAATATGGAGTTGTATCATCATATGATATATGTTAATTATTAAAATACTAGTGAAATTAATACCAGCTATGTGCAATTGCTAACAGTTACTATGAATAGCTGAACTATCCAAAATTCTTCTAAAGAAAAAAAAAGGTCAATAAATGGTATTATCCAAAATAGTTGAAAAGGTCAATATATAGTATTATCCAAAATATCATAATATTATGCTACGGATAAATATAAATAACTGTGGTATAAGATCATAATAGAATAAAATGGCTTAGCTATTAAAGTAGCTAGAAATGAGGCGCTCATGATTTCAAATATTTCACTCTACTCAAGTTCTAGTTGTGCTTGAGAATAGGTAAATGATAAGATCATAAAAAAATTAAAATTTATTTTATAATTGATAAAATTAAAAAGTAAATACTAAAAAGGTCAAAATGGTCAAAATTCTTTTTCGATTCCATTTAGTCCAATTATAGTTCCAAACCGGACCGGATACCACTCACTTTTATTTTGGCAGTTACCAAATAACTGTGATTGTGAAAGGGATAGCCACGTCATCATTATTATATATATATATAAGGGATACCAACGTCATCATCTTGAATTGATATTATAGTATAGATATATATATATTTATAATAATATTATCGTCTCGCATTTACTTTTCACTTCTCTGTCGCTCTCTCTGCTTGTGGAGTGGCATATATATATATATATATATATATAATTATCTCGCATTACTTTTCACTTCTCTGTCGCTCTCTCTGCTTGTGGAGTGGCTCGAAATTCTCAACAATGGAGATTTCGATAAACGCCACGATTCTTTCACCTATCCGTTTCCTCAAAGCCAACGTAGCTAACTGCTTATCCGTTAAAGCTCCTCCGCTTTGCTGCTTGATGTAAATCAAAATTTTTAACGTTATACAGCTGTTTATTGAAAAGTTGGCTGTTTAAGTAATTGTTTTTCTTTGCAGGAAAAATGGAGAGGCAGCCAATGGATTATTTGAAGCTCACTCAAAATTGGAGTGAGTGGTTTCATGCCTGATGTTTCTTTGTTATTCAATTATGTTACATTTCATATGCACAAACCTCCTGTGAACAAATTTGTTTGTTAATCAATCAAATGTTATTTAGGGTAGAAGGTCATGACAGTATGGAGATGTCTCAGGTACATACTAGCTTTCTTTAGCCATTTAATTTGCTAACTATCATGTTTCTTGGAGAGAGTTTTTAGATTAGATCATTTTTTTTTTTCTTAAAGGAAAAGTTTCGATCATCTTATTTTGTGTAGGAACCAAAACATAATCACATATGGCAGCTCTTCAAAGAAGCTCAGCAAAGTATGGCCTTACTTGATGTTCTTTTTCATGTTTTATTTTGCATGATTTCTGGTTTGGATCTTGAATTTTTTGGAATTTTTGTTATCTGTTCAAGTTAATCAAGTGACTGTGCTTTTTGTGTTGTTGTTTAGATATTCTGTACTTAAACAATCAACGTCTTTTGGCTGTTGAGGAACTCAACAGAGTAAATGAAGAGAAACAGTTGTTGCTTGATAGAATAGAGCAATTGGAAGCGGAAAAACAAGCTGGTTTCGGAAAAGGTGATTGTTATTACCTAGAAATTTTGCATTTAGTAGCATAAAAAAATGAAAATGAAATGATATCTTCTTCTTCCTTTTATTTGCGTTCTCAAGCATGCCACCTCTGCATTTCATCTTACCAATGATGTACCTGTTGGCATTGGATTAAAATTTTTTGTGGTTTTGCATCCTTGAAACAAGATTGCATGTAAGTCACTGAGAAGTGTAAAAATTTTTGTCATCTGGCCTTCTAAGTTATGATGAGTGTTAATTAGTTGTGAAGTCTTGCAGATGTAGCATTACTTATCACTTTTCACTTGAGAATTTCTAGGGCAGTCTTGTGTGCCCAAGCTGTGTGGATTTTAGTACATAAATTGGGATTTGTGCAAGTTGTTTGTGGACTAATCAGCCGCTGATATCAAGTAATATGTTTGATTGATGTCCTACCTATACCAGATAACCAATCTTTGTGCTGCGAATTGCTGCTTCGGATAGACTCAATGGTCCTCACTGGCATGATTAACACTGCAGAGGCGTCTAATTTGAGAAAGACAGTCATGGATTGCAAAATTAGCGTAGCTGATCTGTTCTTTGAAAAGGTGCAGAAAAGTGACGCTGAGCTTCTTGTGGAACTGCGCCACTTCTCATATGGAAGCAAAAAGTAAAATGAATCTGAAGCAATTACTGTTTTTTGTTTCCTTTGCACTAAGA